TATATGATCTTGACATTTGACTTTATAAATAATTAAATATTTAATAATAATAATAAAATAAATTAGAAGTCCAGGCAAGCAAGAGCAAGCCGTTGCAGAAAATCAATATACTCCTTTCAAAATTTCTTAAGAATATGTGTATATGTAAATACATGTATATACATGTATTTAGTCTACTTCTTGTCCCTTCTTATTTATTTTAGCGCATAGTATTATACATATATGATATATACTTTTTCTTATTGCTAAAATACAATTCCCTTGAATTTTCTGTAAGAAAATCCCCAAATTTATAAGCACATCGTTGTGCGAAAGAGACAGGTAGAGAATCGATGGGATGTTTTGTGATTTCGATTGCCGCTGCGAATAACTTTTCCTCAAGTACAAAGAACAAACAAAAAATTGCTAAACATTTCACATGCTGTTCTTGAATGCGTATTTATAATTTGTTTTCATCTGCTGCATTTTATTTCTCTCACAATTTCTTTGAGCATATTTGTTGTTGCCATTGTTGTTGGCCATGTGTGAGGTCGTGTAGCGCTTTATTTACTCTTTCAGCCTTCTTTTATATTTCCGTATATTAGTCTTTGTCGTAAGAGTGTTTGTTATTTGAGTCATTTGAAAGCCTCGAGCAGAGCTCAAGTTGTTGCCACATACAGCGCCGTGGCCAGGGACAAAGTTGCGAGTCAAAGACTCGTCATGGGTTTTTTCTTTCATCTGCTGCTCTTCGCTTCACAATTTAACTATCTCATTGAAGCAGAGGTGTACTTCGGCTGGAATTGGTTGCACTAAGCAAGCAAAACAAATGAAGTAGTCTTTCGCAGTTTTTACAGTTTGTTAACTTATTTCATTTAAGCGTTAAGTGGGCCAAAAGCGGATTGCAAAACTTTGCCAACTTGGCAACTTGAATGAAAAATCTCTTCAAATTTTCACAAGCTCTTTGGCAACTCCCATTGTTGCTCAAAAGTTGCACAAGGATTATTATTTCCCTCTTTTGCACTCATTTTGCTCCATTTTCCATTTGGCTGTTAATTGCGATTTTCATGTCGCCTCATTTGCTTGGTTTATTTATTTGTTCTGTCTGCTCTGCTATGTACAGATAATAAATTATATTTTCTGAAATGTGTCAAGCAAATATCAACTCTGTCAACTTTGAGCTATCATATTTAAGTAACTAAGACTAATTACACTGTGTGAGCATAACATAGATAGATAAGGCGATGATGGTTGAAGCATATGATAAATAAATAAATATAAATTAAATTGTCTCTGTATCTGTATCTGCATCTGTATCTGTGTATTCAAATTTTTACTTTTTGATTGCTATTCCTCAAATTTATTTATTAATTAAATTCGTTGTTGTTGTTGTTTATTGCGTGTATTGGCCATTTGCGAGCTGTTAAAAATTGACTTTTTATGACGTTTATTTGACAGGCTTCGTTTACGCACTAAAAAATGTGCTAAACAACAAATTCAAATTCGAGCTCGAGTTCTATGCTAATTGTTTAACAAAAGCATATGAAATATGCTATGGAGTTGTTGTAAATTAATTATAGAAAAATTGATGAGCAATTTGCCAAGCAACTGGTGAAATATACATATATACATATGTATGTATTTTTATACAGATATATAGATGTTGTATATAGTATGACTAAAAAGGGCGATTTTATTTCCATGCAATGAAATTTTGCTTTTTGCAGAGCTTTTGGCACGTTTCTGGCAGATGCTCTGAAGGTCGTCGGCTGAGTGGAAATAAATTATTATATGTACATACATATATTGTTTTTCTTATGTATTTCTCGTTGTGTTTCTTGTTGCGTTTTTGCACTGCTCATGAAGCTACTGCAACAGTTGGCTATTTTAATTATGGCAAGCGACTCGAGTGCTGCTGGTTAACAAACGGACGACAAAAGCAACAATTGCTTACATAACCAGGCAGACAAGCAAATATACACACGCCCCGGCCATGCCCATATGTATGTAGATGTACAGACATAACTGTGTACATATGTCGGTACACATATATATACAGAGAGGCATACATATATATGAGCGAAACGTATTTTAGTATGCCCGGTCGCAGGTTGATTATGTTTTCGAAACCAGTTTTTGGGGTGCCTGCAGCCAGTTGGCGTACTCTCTCTTGCTCTCCCTGTCTCTCTGTCTCTCCCACTCTCACTGTCTTTCTCTCTTTTGGTCTCCATCGGCATTTCCATTTCTTTCGCCTGCTCAGTCTTGCATGCTCTTTAGTGGGTCGCCCTAGACCTAGTCACGTGCCTGCTTATAGCATCAACAATTCAGCTTCGCTTATGATTTGCATTTTAAGTATGGCTAAAGGTTTTACAAGAATAAAGAGAAGAAAGTTGAAAGATACTCGATTGAGCTTTAACCAATTACCAACTGCAGATGATAGCGAAAACTTGCCTCACTCAATGCTCACATTTCCAATATCAAATTGATTTCAATTGATCGATGTTCCTAAAGAATTCTCAAGAATTCCTTTGAGAAATATCTTCAAGCAGGCACATGGGCTAATTGTCATTGACATTTGGACTTTGTGACTGAGGGCGTTACACATAAATCACTTCCGATAATTATGAGGCTTATCAATTTTCTCACAGCACTCACAAATTAAGTGTCGAATCACACACTGACTAGACTACTGAAGAAGTTGGCCAACTGAAGCACCTTGTTCGACAGAGTGTAATCAAGCGCAGAATAGATAAGATTCTTGAATTACGAAGGTGATTTAATTTTAGATTTTATGCTCACTCACTCAGCTGATTTGTGAATCACTTTTTGATTTATGTTTAATCTGTAATATGACTCACCTTAAGCAAAGGGCATTTGCTAGTCGGGCAAGGTATCTATCGCAGCTTGTCTATCGCGTGCTGCCGCTCTCAGCCGATGTCAAGCTATTGACCTGTCTTTAATTTCTTATAATGTAAGCATAACAAATGATTTTCATCCCATTCTGCTTCATGAATATTATATCTATGATCACATGACCGCACGAAATAAAAGCAAATTGAAGTGCCTGACTCTTTCATAGTCAATGTCAGCAATTCAATTGGCTCACGTCGAAGG